ATTTTAAAAATAAAGTTAAACCTCTGTCTTTCAATCTCAGGGCAGTTTCTACTAACTCACTGTTTGTAAGACCTACTGATTGATTTGTCTTTTCAGAGCTGATGATTTTTTTTAGCCAACTCATGTTTACTGGCTTTGTGACTTCTTACAAGAAAAGTAATTAGTTTAGGCTTAAGAACATTTGTCAACAAAAAACTAAGTACTCTTAGAATGTAACTTCTTAAGAGCAAAGTCTTTAATTCAATATTGCCAGATCTAAAACAGTGCCTAGATGTAAACTTAAACTTTCTGCATTTTATTGTATGTAAATTATTCCCCTCAAGAAAAAATACTTCTATAAAATAGTGTCTGCCACAATAAATGTTAAATAAATTGGGTGACTGAATCCAGCCATCTGGGTCATCCCTAAGATAAATATGCCTAACTAGAAATATTGCATTTGTCAATTTCAACCCTAGTATGTACACCTAGTTCTTTTTGAACAGTTAATGAATTTTGTGATTATGGTAGAACAATATCCTAAGACTAGTAATCATGAATAATTATCCACATTGTATAAAATGTTTTAAAGTGACCTATTACATTGGTAGTGCTGAAATCTAGAATTTGGGTTAATTTTCATAAGTAAAAAAGGTAAGATGAGAAAAACAGTCCTAGGTTTTTAAAAAATATTTATTTAAAAATAAGATTTAAAAAAATACAGTACATAATACATTTTGAGAAGTAAAAATTCCACAATTTAAATTAAAAACAATCTGCAAAGAAAATAGAAATATTACGTGAATAAAACTAAATCACTACAATAAATTAAAAACAACAACATTGTTCTTAAGGTAGACACATGGTTTGATTTTCATATTAAGAACCAGTGTAGACTTTTCATCTAAACAAATACATATCAGCTGCATGGTTCCCACTTGTCATTTTCACCCATTTTACTCCCTCAATCTATTCTTATATCCCTCAACCACTATTTTCCCAATTACCATCAGCACGAGAAATGTTGGTGAAGATTTTCTTTAAATTCTCTTAGGGGAAAGACAAGGTAAAAATAAAAGACAATGCAAGGAAAAGAGCACTCAGATCTATACATATTATGCACTGAATAATAAAATGCTCGACAAATTTAAAAACAGGATCTTCCGATGGCACTTGGAACATACTACTATCAAAATAAAAGCATTTTAGGGATATAATACTAGACAGAACTTGGGGTTCACACACAATTTTAGGAGCCTCAAAAATAACACAGATTTTGGCTCTTCATTAAACTTGCCAGCCAGATCACACACAAAAAACACTAATTCCAGGGACACAAAGTGAGCTCATACAGCATGATCCATGTGTGCTCTGTCCTTCCAAGAGCCTATCTTTGTCTAATTTTTTTTCTTTAAAATGTTCATCTCTGGGAGACAGTGAATAGTGGTGAATTCTCTACTACTCAGTAACTTGAAAAAGTACTGCATTCAGCCACCTGCATTTAAACCATGCATAAACAAGCCAAATTACTCAGAATCAATATAGTGGCAACATAATCTAGGGAATATTGTTGGCAGATTAGAGAGAGACAATGTTGCTTCATCTCATTAGGCTTTCAAACAAATTTTGCTTTCACCTCTAATGATTACGTTCACCTAGATATCTACATATCGTTCAAATGATCTGAAGCCACATTTCACATAAACTTCAGACTTGATTCTTTTTTTCCATTCAGAATTCACTGCAAAACCATATACTGTATCTACATTCAAGGAGAGGTTGATTTTAGCTAACAATAATACAAAATATTTTCGAATGTGATTGTCTGCTTTTCCAATACACACACTGTCACCTTCTTGAGAGAATGATTAACCATTTTAGCTGCAGTTGTAAGGACACTGAGTGTTTTGAGAGTTTTAAAGGGAAAAATTTGGAACCAAAATAGTATACACAGCAGTATTACATTTGGACAATTACATTTGAAAGGTGTTTTAAATTACGAGTACACTTAAAGGGTGTTTTTCTTCATTTTTGTAAAACGAACTACTAAGCAAAATTAGTTTTAAAAATAATCTTACTCTAACTTTCTATGTAAAGTGAGCAATCATATCCAGACTTTTTTTTTTCATTAAGTTCAATTTTCTGTTATCAGTTTTGCTTAAATCAAGGTACATATGCATTTCCTCTTGGGAAAGCATCTCTCTCTCTCTGTCTCTCCGTATCTCTCTCTATATATATCTACACACACATATGTACACATACATATATTTTAAAGGTGGTCTTTTATCTTTGTTTGCAAAGTAGACAAATGGCAATATTATTCTTTAAAGCCACTAAAGATTACACACACACACACACATACACGCTGAATTCTTGATTTGTAATGAGAATGAACCCTTAACTCTTCATTTTAGTATTTTGTTTCAGTGTTCATTAAAGTGCCCAATAAGCTATATAGTTCATTTATATAAATTAAATATTAGAGTTCTTACTTTTTTATTCATTGTTGCAGAAATAAAACAACTTGTGAAAAGTGCTTCAATTATCTTTTGTAATTTCAGCCTATCAAACTACCTTTTAAAGTAGCCAAGCTATATTAAAATACAAAATTAAAATCCACACATGCCTAACTAAAAAACAGTCCAAGTGAGAAACATTTAAAATCCATTAAATTGCCACAGCGGCATGCAAAAAATAAGATCCGTTAATCAAACTGTTCTTAGTAACATTAAATTCTACTTTATAAACACACAATGATGTGAGAAGAAAACTCAGTCAACCCAAAAGAAAATTAACTCTTTGGTACAGGAATTAAAAATGTCACTCAATGCTAAAGTGAATAGCACCAGGATGTTTTACAGTTGTTGAGGTTATAAAACACTAACTTCAGGCACCAGTAGGTTAAAATATCATCCAATGCATACTGGCAAGAATATATAGCTTGCAATACGCAGATAAGCTTTCCCTTTAGTTAACAGCCTGCAAAATAAACCCTGTGTTTAGTCAAACAGGCAGGCGAAGCCACAAAAAAGCCCACAACTTTTGTTAAGCTATTTTGTCCACATCTTTGTTTATATATAAAGCTATCAATACCAAAAAAACCAGTGTTGAACTGTTATAAGCACGACATTACATGTTACAGATATTCAAAATACCAATACAAATGGAGACCTTCAGGGTATCAAGAACTCCAAAATATCCCAAATGTTAAAGTGAAAGCCACCCTTATATATTGTTTATTTTTCCTCTGGTGACAAAATTTTCTATATACTCAGTATCTTTTCTTTGCAGTAAAGATTTCCAGAAAAGGTACCAGTTTTTTCAAACTTTGGGCAAACTGTTCATTTCTCCTCTGCATTAAATAGCTGTGTTTTCCACATTATTTTTAACACTTCACGTTACCATACTCTACACAATTATAATATTTAAAACTAAAATATTTATTAAAGGCATCTGACGAACTGAAGAGAAACATTAATATAAATTCCTTAAGTTAAATAATTCAAACTAAATGTTTATATGCACTAACAACTCCTCCAATAAAAATGGTATAAATAAGAGATAAGGCTAAATGATTATAGCAAAGAGATTTTCTGATGTCAGAAACTGGCTCCAGTCAACTCTGTTGCTGAGATGCTGATTATTCATGCCCCATCTAGTCTTCTCTCCATCTTAGTAAGTTTTTGGATACTCACTACTCATTTGTACCTATTCTCTAGGATGGACAAGGCAAAAAGAACATAATAATAGTAAAAAACTGTAATGATAATGGAAAATACCAGTAATATCAATGACTTTTAAAATACCATTGTTATTTCTGTTTCAAACTAGCAGGCAGTATTGCAACATCTGAAAAACTGACAAAGATGTAGTAAGTTTTGTTGTTAAAAACTGCACAATGATAATAAAAGAAATCAGAGAAAAGCCACTTTCCTGAAGTTAAACCATCATCACCTCAAAAGCAGCAGAAATGCTAAATACCGATTAATACACAGAATTACAACATTGGTTCAAAACAGTTCAAGCAAGTTGGTTCTAATACTTTCTCACATTGTACTGTGGAATATTCTAGAATTCAACTGAGAATGACTAAATATAGAGCATAATGAAATTTGTGATTTATAGATAAATTCAGAGGATGATTTCTAGAGTAAAAGTTAACAAACTTGGGCATTAAATAACACATTCATTAATTATACAGTTAATACTAGCAAGTAGAACACATTAAATGTACATGGCTTATTTGCTACACTTACCAATACTTATGTTTTTTCAAAGCAGTAGCAGAGTTGTGTGAAAATCTAATATTTGTATCTATTAGCAAACTACTCAATGTTTATATGTGTGAATTTTATCAAATAAATTCTAGATATATCTATGTATATTAGAGGTCATGTCAGAAACTTATTTAATAAAGTAACTATAGGTTATTAAACTCGATAAACTTGAGCTAATCTACTGACACAGGAAGCGCAAGAGAAGCAGAGACTAGAGAAAAGTCCAGAGAGAGACTAGCAGCTCTGTTAATTAATATTAATGGCATATTAAACCAGAGCTTGATACATCGTGATTTTATAGCAATACATGTGAAAACACTCAAACTGCCCCAAGAACTAACACACAGAAAATTGTGTGCCATAATCTAAATCAATTCACACTTCCTGGTTTGAAATGTTGTCCTAACTGAAGTCTTTATGATTAGCATTCAGAATTAATACACCCTTTGGAGCAAAACATATCACCAACTAGTTACTTGTATGGAAGTGACTTGAACGTCTAACAAAGAATAGTTATCATTAGCCATCATACTTAGAGAAAAATGCCTCTATGCATTGGCAAAAATACAATGATGTTAATTCTGACAGACGTTTTAACTCAGCTGTTACAGTGAGCACTATGTATTATGTTCTCTTTCATTATTAAAAATAAACTATGTTTTTTTCTGAAAAAGAGTTAATATGTTAACTACAATTTAAAATAGCTATTTCTAATGTTAAGCACAAATATTTTTAATACAACTCTTAAGCAAAATAGTATTTTTATTATAAAGAAACATCAGCTAACTTGATATTTTTAACCTATAAGTCTGGGTTACAAAGTACCAATTGCTCTATAACTGAATGCCTACTGCTTGAGGGGTCCTGAACTCAGTTCATCTTTGCCTACAATCTTAAGCCTACATGAAGCCCATAAACATTTTTGTTTGAAGAAAACAACAGTGACAAATATGATTGTTAAGGAAGTGTAACTTACAGTATCTAGGTAAAAACCTTTCATTTCCAGAAGGCCGACAAATGACTTTACTGATGTAAAAACATCCTTTAACATACATTTTGCTTAAAATCAAATAGAACGTTTATAAAGAAATACTTCAGTCCAACATACATATTACATCAGTAATCTTACTGCTCACGATTATTTTCTAATGCCCAACACCTTTAGTTGTTTTCATAGTTATCCAGAATACATAATAAATTGGCTACTAAAACTATAGATATAACTCTGGGAAAGGTAAAAAAAAAAAAAAAAAAAGAACAAAGAAAAGAAAAGGAAAAGTATACAAAGAATCATTAATCTCTTAGTTATTTAAGGCATAAGTCAGTAAAAAAAATCATTTCAAAACTGAGTAAAATAAACTAAATGTAGTTTTTTAGATATTCATTAATAACAGTAAATGCTTGGTTGTCTTTGTAGCTACAATACATTTCTATGTTTTGTAATAAATTGGTCATTTTAAAGTAACAGCTTTTCCAATTCTAAGGAATTACTCTGCCAAAGTAAGGTTTAAAATAAAATACATAAAATAGCTTAGTTTATCCTAATCTAATATAAATTTGTGATTGACAGCAAGAATATAATGGGAACGAACACAAACGAAGCAAAGCAGTCATCACATTCTACGAACTAGAAATAACATCATAAAAACATGTTCATTTTCATAAAATTTTACATTTTTGTACATATACTCCTAAGTTTATACTTTTGATATGTTCAGAATGTGGCTATACTATTTACTTATGGGGCAGTAAATCTTTAGAGCCAGTATAATTACATCAATTAGCCAAAAGAGGGCGCAGAAAGAACACCAGTAGATATGCTTAGGAAACTGACAGTTGGTTTTTCTCTAGTGTAGTCTAACAAGAATTAACAATACCCACAGGAGGGTTAGGTATGCTAACTGGGGAATACTGAAAGTCACAGTGTAAGTATATATAGACATACTTTAATATACATTCTTATGTAAATATACTGATAGCATTTCTGCCATTCAAATAAAATAAGCATATGTTTTTCTAGTGTATTAGTGTGTAGTCCAATAATTTAAGGGAACTGACTACAGAGTGATCAGGCAGGAAAGGTAAAGAGGAAGAAGGAAAAGAATATGTCCTAGAAGTGGTAAATCTAGGAAAAACAAGAACACAAATCATCACAGTGGGAAAGAGACCCCGCCCAATACCTTTCAGTGTACCTACTGCTACTACAGGAAGTATAAATCAGCTACAAAGTTCTTTAGGGGATCTTCACTTGGTTCTGCTGTTTTCTCAAGGTCCTTATTTGAAAGGAATGTATACAATATAAGGCATTCAACTGATATCTACCTACATTATCTATATATTACTTCCTTATAAAAGTTCTGTCACCAGGCCAAATGGTGGCCAAATAGCTTGCACAAATTCCAACCCATTTGCCTGACAGTAACATTCTAATTTTGTGTTTCACTAAGCTTTATAAATATATTTCTTCTATTTAATTTACTACGTCTCTTTTCAGTACCAATAAATACGTTCGTCTGCCACTTCAGAGTTTGTAAGTAATAAAGTATTCCAATTAGAACATGAAAAACATGATATTGACATCTCTGAGAAGTACTCTATTATTTCAGAATATGCTACAAGATATTTACAATTTCTGAAAGAACTAACCACAGTATAGCCAACTGGCTAACAATGGTAACCTTCTGTTTAATTATTTCCCAGGTATTGTTCCTTACTTTCAAAATTAACTAAAAGAAAATATTAGCATGGTTCATGAACAGTAGACTTTTTCAATCTTCTCTTCAAGGGAAAGACTGTGAGTACATAAATTTTTTAAAAACATATATGAGTTTTGCAGTATTCTAATGGAAAAAAATTAAAAGCTGAGTTTTCAAAGCATGCTAAATGTCTTTTCATACAAATGTTCTATGCCTTGCGAGAGAACATCACTATTAGTAATTTACATTTGTATAAGGTTAATGATAAACACAGATCATTGTATTTTCTTATTTTAGGGTCACTTCCTAACACTAGCTACTAGTAAAAGGTCTCTCAATGCAAATTAGAGCCGGCCAATTAAAATTTAATTTGAATTTAGGGATTATTAAAGGTAAACAAAGTTAGTGACTTTTTTCAGTAGTAGCTTCCTATAAATAAAATTTCTATATGAGTTGGCCAATATATATAAACCTTCAATGTGAAATTTTACATCTACTAGTACATAAATAAAAGTAAAAAGTATAATCTTTTCAAAAGCACAATATTCCTCTTTATACTGTACATTACATATTATCTAGTTATACCAGTATTTTAAAAACATATGCATTCTAATATAACTGCACTAGAAAAGGTAATTGTGAAGTTATTGCAAATTCTCTCCCCTTTTTGCTCATTAAAATCTTAGGGTAAAATAGGAATACATGCCCACCGATCAGGAGTTCTCCTGGGAGCAAATATTTCAATCACAATCAATAATTACAACAGTAATGGTGAAAACTGAAAAATTATTGTGAAAAAATTTTTAACATTTCCTTTATAGTAAGGTAGGTAGTTGGTGTTTTACTTCAGTGGTCCTTTAATGTTGGTTTTGGTGAAGAAAAAAGAAGAAAATATAAGAAAGCCACTCCTAAGAAACCAATGCCTGTTTTTTGTTGCTGCTGTTCACTCCTATTGCTGCTGCATTTTTAAAAATGTTGCAGCACATTTAAAAGGAAAGGTTATTTTAAATTGGATTTGAAAAATAAAATTTACCTATATTATAAGAAGGTGTATCAACTTTTGTAAAACCTGAATAATTAAACTTAGATTTGGTTACTGTTTAAAAGTGAAAATTTTAAAAAAAAATCTGAAATTTACCATAAATTAGAATCTGTAACACTGTCAGTACTAAAAGAAATTATGTACAATTATTTCATCCTAATCACTGCCTTTTGAGTTTAATAACAAAAGCATTTAAATAAATCCCTGTGGAAAGCTAATTTGAAAGTAAACATGCTTTAAAACTTAAATATAGATCTCGTATTAGTCCCACAACAGGATCAAGATCACTATTAACATAAAGCCTGGGGCACATTATGATGCCTAAGATTGGTGGGTGGATTTTAATTGACTTGAAGACTGTCATAGTTCTATTATCATAAAACCTGTAACGCATTTCCAGCATGGAGGACCCATCTGTGCCCACCATCCATCTGTTTAGACATGATTGGCAAAGTGGTAGGGAACTCGCAGTGGTTGCCTCTGCCTGAAAGGAATGAACCACAGGATCTTCCAACGAGTGCCAAAAACTTCTGAGAAGGTCTGCTGCCATGGCTTTCGGGGCCTCGATCTACAGAAGACAGCATTATTAGTGAAAGACAGCACTCCCATGGTGCACTTCAGTCAGCTAAAACAATACAGGTTGGCTGGGGATCCATTACTGGACTCTGATGAATTGTGTCCCAGCATCATAAATACAGCTTTTCTTTCATTATGGCATGCAGCTGAGTTTTAACTCTGGATAGCAGATATTGTATCTGTGTCGTCAATCAACCGAGCACAACTTTTGAAGCAGAGGAAAATCTCAGGATTAACAGAATGTGTGTCAACAACACAGTAGCAAATCTCTTTTGATGTACTTTCAGGACAAATAATTTAACTTACTTTAGTTAGACAAGGCACAAGAATGATCAGCACTTTAGTGTGAAAACTATCATGGCTGGAAAACCCCTACTGTAAGACTGGGGTAGGCTTGTCTAGCACAGGCCTCAGACAAGGCACCAAAAAAAGCCATCATTATATTATCTTTCTACTACATGCACATATTTCTCAAATATGTCCAGTTCTTTCCATTTTTAAATAATACTATATACTTCAGTTTTATACTTACATATCTTCACAACAGTTTGACATCTTTTCAATAGATGTTGTATCCTATTAAAAATAAAAAATTATATTCAGATGTAACAAAGTCATTAAGTCTTTATTCTGTATCCATTCTATGATGTTTTTAATCTTATTCCAAGAATATTCTAAAGATTTAAACAGTTTATATACATGAGTATTATGAATTTTAAATGATCTTTCATACATTGCTGGAATCCCCTTGGAAAACCAAAATCAACATTATATTATGCAAAAAAAAACCTATTTAAATACAAAAACCTCACAAAAATTGTGAGAGTATCACTTCATTAAAATATAACCTTTTATTACACTTGCTTTCTTGATGATTCCTCTGAAAGTCTACAATCTACTTTCAATTTAACTGTTAGTGAATATGCATTAAAAAATAAATAGTAAAATGACATATGAAATAAACTAATGAACAGAAAACTGCCTAAGAGAGTGCTACTGGTTCTAGGTTTCTGTAAACAACAACAAAATTCAACAAGGCAATCTATGAATTTGCCATATTACAACATCTATTATTCTGAAAACTAAACTGACCAGAGTTCTTTTTTAGCAGAAAAATACCTTTTTCATAATATAATTCCCTAATTGTATGCTTTCTATAAGGCTCTAACACAAATATGTGTAAAAAAAAAAAAAAAAAAAAGAAAAAAAATTCAACAAACAGAAGATCGCTTCTAGAAATGCTGGTTTAATTTGTGTTATCAGAAGACTTATCATTAGACTGGTAAATTGTTATAAGTAATAGCCAAATAATCAAAATACAAATTACACAATCTTATTTTTAGGTATTTATTTGTATTTTAAATATACTTTGAAACAGTGCAAAAGAGTACATTCATTCAAATACACCAAAAGCTGGAGAAGTTTTCCTCTTTTTATCCCTTACTTTACCTTAACACTTTGTTTACACATAAGTAGACTTATTAAGCAGTACGATTCATGCGAACACTTGTGGCTACAAGTAAAATCCCAAGAACTTATTTGGCTGTAAAACTTTTCCAATGATGCTAATAAACAGCACTTTCACTCAAAAACAACTCTTTAGAGATGTTAAATAAATAGCTCATAATATTAAATTCTCATTATGAATAGTTGCATAACTACAGTTAGCCTATATAAGAGAAAATTGATCTACTTTTAAGATAACTAATAACCAATAACAGAGTTTCATTTACAGACTTTCCAGGAATTTTTTTAAAGTTATAGATTAGCTACATATTCTATATTCATTAGTTTTCCTATGAAGCTTTGTAATTCAAGGTATCCAGTGACAATTCTATTAATAATTAACCTTTCTCAGCTCTGTTGTAATTTCCTCAAAATGTCTTACTTTATGAAAACACAGTCTACAAACATATGAGAACACTGATTAGGGTCTCAGAGGAAATTTGGGCTTCAGGTTCCACATTTGTAAAGGAAGTAAGTGAAGTCATTTTAATTGTTTCTTAGAGTTTTGATAGTGACACATTGTTCCAAAGCAATTAAAACAGCTTGTGCAAAAGTACAAAGAAAAAGATGACATAGAAGTCAAAGAGAAAGATGAAATAGAATAGCTATTAGGAAACGTATATGAATGGCCTAAGATCACAGATGTGGACAACACTTAAAAACTATAAAGTATTCCATGGTGTATAAGGCAAATGCAAGGTCAGACTACTCTCACCAGCTAAGATTAAGGGCAATTTTTACTATGCAGAAATTACAACTTGCTTAAAATCCTAAGGGATTTATTGGTGGCATTAAAAAAATCTACTTTAAAGATTTCAGATTTAGATTTCATACAGAAAAAGCTTTTATTTTCAAGTGTTTTTGATACCTTTCTTGAATCTGTTTTGGGAAATAACTAGAATACTATCTATCAAATCATCATAAGCATGGTTATTCGGTTATTCTTTCAAACAATGTGATGTTTACCATTACTTTATGAGTAGGATTTGTGAGGTTGGCCAAAATAGGCTATTTTTTTCCTCTAGAAATGGCAAATGCTCATCTCTCTGTAATTCTGCTATCCAGAACACTGTTATAAGTACAATTTGTATTTTGGTAACCAAACATGTCATCAAGTTTTTGCACTGGTGCTTACATATAACATACCCAGAGCAATACAAATTAGGCTATCACATTCACTAGCAGGACAGAAACAGCAAACTAGAAGAGGACAGGAGTTACTACTATCAAGAATACGAAAAACCACAAGTTATCCTCAAGTGTCAAATTAAGTTTAATATACTTTTGGACTAAAAAAACACTAAAATAATTAAAATATTTTGATGTAGATAACTTCATTCGATACTAAAGACTCAACACAGTGCTCATCATGAAAGGACTAATAAGATAACTATTATGCTCAAGGAGTTTAAATACAAAGTATAAGTTCTTGGTTATATGTAAAACTCAGCTATCCAAAGAAATTCATTTGTCCAGGAATGATAACAAACAAGTTTTTACTATGTGTTGTCTATAAGAACACTTTTATTTATAAATATTTACACCTTGATTACAGTCTAATGATCAAAATATCTAAGACTTTCCTCAGTCTACATGACCAAGATATATGAGAATGATGTACTATTTTAAAAGCTGGACGTCCTTAAAAATAATGAAATAGAAACAGCAAGACATACAGAAATATAGGCCCTACCTATTTTATCTAATATTTTATCTTCTGATGGGTGGTCTTACCTAAGAAATTATTTTTCAGGCCTAGTCTAAAAAGTTATGTTGACTATTGAAACTGCATCCTAAGTAGTAAAATTATACCTGGAATAGGGGGGGGAAGTTCCTAAGAGAAAGGGAGAAAGTGGTATCTCTTGGCTTGATGTTAGGAAAATGAGAGGTTGCAAGGGGGGCGGGATAAAGAGCAAGAATTTATCACCAGAGGTTTCCTGGTTAACAGACCTGAGAACCCAGTCCTCTCGGCATAGAGCGCTTGATGATACAATCCATCCAACTAACTCATCCTGTTTTGAGTTCATTCTCACCAAGCAACACTTTGCCACATATGTTGTCATACAGGAGAAAGAATGTGCTGAAGAGTCCTTTGGCACACCTGACAATCGCACATAAAGGAACAAACAATCTGTTATATGACTATCTCTTTTGAGTCTGGAAGTAAGAGCCATTGCCTCTGGACCTGTTTAACCCTGCAAACAATTTCAAAATGGAGTTTCTAGATCTGCCAAACTGCAGACCTGAGGAAAGTAAAACAATTATTTTTGTTAGACTCCTTGAAAACAGTTCAATCTAACTTCAGTTATCCCCTGCATTCTTTATTATTATAGATCTCGTTGATGCTTCTAAGTCTGCTACACATAGTCACCTAATGACTCTACAGTGATTTAATCTAGAGTTTAAAACACTGTTCTATACACAAAATCAACTCAAAATGGATCAAAAACTTCAATTAAGACCTGATCCTATGAAACTACTGGGAGAAAACATGGAGGAAATGCTTTATGACATTGCCTGGATAAAGATTTTTTAGGTAAGACATAAAAAACAAAGGCAACAAAAACAAAAATAGAGAAATGAGATTACATCAAACAAAAAAGCTCTGCGCAGCAAAGGAAACAACACAGTGAGTGGCTGGGTGTGGTGGCTCATGCCTGTAATTACAGGATTTTGGGAGGCAGAGGCAGGTGGATTGCTTGAGGCCAGGAGTTCAAGACCAGCACAGCCAATATAGTGAGGCCCTGTCTCTACAAAAACAAAAGAAAGACCTTTAAAAAAATAGAAGGTATGGCATGGTGGCATGTGCCTGTAGTCCTCGCTACTCAGGGGACTTAGGTGGGAGGTTTGCTTGAGCCCAGAAGTTCAAGGCTGCAGTGAGCTATGATCATGCCACTGCACTCCAGCTTAGGTGATAGAGTGAAATCCCATCTCTTAAAAAAAAAATACATTGAAGAAACAACCTAAAGAATGGAAGAAAATCTCTGCAACTATACATCTGACAAGGGGGTAATACACAGAATACATAAGGAACACAAACAACTCAACAGAAAAATAAAAGAGAGAGAAAAGAAAAAAAATCTGATTCTAAAATAGAGAAAAGATTATACAAATGACCAATAGGTATATGAGGAAATGTTCAACACCACTGGTCATCAGAGAAACGTAAATTAAAAACCACAATGGGAAATCATGTCATCCCAGCTAGAATTATCCCAGGGTATTATCAAAAAATACAAAAGGTAAATGTTGGCAAGGATGTGGAGAAAAGGGAACCCTTACACAGCCTGGGGAAGAAACCTTACTCCTGTTGGGGAAAATGTAAATCCATACAGCCATTATAAAAAAACAGTATGGAGGCACCTCAAAAAGTTAAAAATAAAACTTCTGTATGATCCAGCAATCACAGCACTGGGTACACAGTCAGCCCTCCATATTTGTTGGTTCTGTAGCTGTGATTCAATCAACCATGGATCAAAAATATTTTAAGAAAAACTGTTTTTAAAAATTTAAAAAAATACAGATAAAAATAATATAGTTTAACAACTATTTACACAGTATTTACACTGTATTGGGTATTATAAATAATCTAGAGGTGATTTATAGTATAAGGGAAGATGTCCATAGGTTATAAGCAAATACTATACCATTTTACAAAAGGAACAGGAGCATCAGTGGATTCCGATATCCCTGCGGGGTCCAGAAATCAATCCCCTATGGAGAGTGAGGGACAACTGTATATTCAAAGGAATAAAATCAGTATGTCAAACTCCCATGCTTATTGCAGCACTCTTCACAATAGCCAAGATATGGAATCAACCTGTGTCTAACAGCAGATGAATAAAGTAAATATGGTATATATACACACTGGAATACTAATCAGTCATAAAAAAGAATGAAGTATGATCATTTGCGATCACATGGATAAATGAAATAAGTCAGTTACAGAAAGACAAATACTGACTGTTCTCACTCATATGTAGAATCTTTAAAAAGTTGATCTCATAGAATTATGAATAGAACAGTAGTTAGCAGAGACTGGGGAGGGTAGAAAGAAGGTAAGGATGGGG